TTAGGGGTAGAGAGATATTTAACTGTAGCAGCTTGTTATACGTGTTGAGAGATATATAACTGTAACAGCTGATTACGTGTAGAGAAATATCTAACTGTAACAGCTGATTTGGTGTAGAGAGATACCTAACTGTAACAGCTGATTAGGTGTAGAGAAATATCTAACTGCAACAGCTGGTTATACGTGAAGAGAGATATCTAACTGTAACAGCTATATAGGTGTAGAGAGATATCTAACTGTAACAGCTGGTAATACGTGTAGAAAGATATCCAACTGTAACAGCTGATTAGGTGTAGAGAGATATCTAACTGTACCAGCTGATTAGGAGCAGAGAGAAATCTAACTGTAACAGCTGATTATACGTGTAGAGAGATACCTAACTGTAACAGGGGATTAGTTGTAGAGAGATGCCCAACTGTAACAGCTTGTTATACGTGTAGAGAGATACCTAACTGTAACAGCTGATTACGTGTAGAGATATATCTAACTGTAACAGCTGATTAGGTGTAGAGAGAGACCTAACTGTAACAGCTGATTAAGTGTCGAGAGATATCTAACTGTAACAGCTTGTTATACGTGTAGAGAAATATATAACTGTAACGGCTGATAATGTGTGGAGAGATATCTAACTGTAATAGCTTGTTACGTGTAGAGAGATATCTAACTGTAACAGCTGATAAGGTGCAGAGAGAAATCTAACTGTAACAGCTGATTATACGTGTAGAGAGATACCTAACTGTAACATGTGATTAGGTGTAGAGATACCCAACTGTAACAGCTTGTTATACGTGTTGAGAGATATCTAACTGTAACAGCTGATTACGTGTAGAGAGATACCTAACTGTAACAGCTGATTAGGTGTGGAGAGATATCTAACTGTAGCAGCTGATTATACGTGTACAGAGATATCCAACTGTAACAACTGATTAGGTGTAGAGAGATACCTAACTGTAACAGCTGATTATACGTGTACAGAGATATCCAACTGTAACAGCTGATTATGAGTAAAGAGATATGTAATTGTAACAGCTGATAAGGTGTAGAGAAATACCTAACTGTAACAGCTGATTATACCTGTAGAGAGATACCTAACTGTAACAGCTGGTTATACGTGTAGAGAATTAACTGTAACAGCTGATTAGGTGTAGAGAGATATCTAACTGTAACAGCTGATTAGGTGTAGAGAGATATCTAACTGTAACAGCTGATTTTACGTGTACAGAGATATCCAACTGTAACAGCTGATTAGGTGTAGAGAGATACCTAACCGTAACAGCTGATTAGGTGTAGAGAGATACCTAACCGTAACAGCTGATTAGGTGTAGAGAGATACCCAACTGTACCAGCTGGTTATACGTGTAGAGAGATACCTTACTGTAACAGCTGATTTTACGTGTAGAGAGATATCTAACTGTAACAGCTGATTACGTGTAGAGAGATACCCAACTGTAACAGCTGATTAGGTGTAGAAAGAAACCTAACTAAAATAATGGCTCGTTAACTTTAATAGAGAGATACGCGGCTGTAACGGCTCTTTTAGCACAGAAAGATGCCTAACTGTAACAGCAGGGTAAGCTTAGAGAAACATCATTAAGCATAGAGAGACACCTGTAACAGCTCATTAAGCGTAAAGAGACACCTAACTGTAACAGTTCATTAAGCATAAAGAGACACATGTACTGTAACAGCTCATTAAGCATAGAGAGATACATAACCGTAACAGGTCAAGAAGCTTAAAGAGACATATAGTCTGATGCATCTCATAATGCTGAAAAAGTACTTATCTGTATCAGGTAGTAGGACTAAGAGAGATACATATTATAGCCTGTAGCAGTTCATAATGCTTATAGAGATAAATACTAGGTCTAGAGAAATGAGTCTGTGAAATACATAATCTGTAATAGTTTGAGATTTAAATAGAAAATTTTTTGTTATAGTTCATCAGACTTAAAAAAGTGTAATATAAGGTTTAGCTAAAGGTACATATGTGTGGAAAGCTCAAAAGAAAAATATCTGTAATAGTTCATGAAGCTTAGAAGGTACATAATGTAAAATTTTATACAGTTTATGAAGCTTAGATAGATATACATTTGTTAAAAATTAATATATATATATATATATATATATATATATATATATATATATATATATATATATATATATATATATATATATATATATATATATATATATATATATATATAAAGAAGGAAAGAAAAAAAAAATCCGAAGATTGAAAATGAACATCTTTATGAAAAATAATTATCATCAAGCTTGGAGAGGTCTATTTGTAACACGTTTTAAGGCTTTGAAAGGTAAAAATGTAACAGCCCTTGAGGCGTTTAGAAACTTAAAAAAATGTTCTTAAGGATTGAAAAATTTAATATAGAAGGAATGTTTAAAGACTGATAATAGAGTTATAATTTTTATCACATGTTTTCCCCTTTATTCCATGTGGATATCACTAATTGGATATAATTTTTTCCAAATACCATTGCTGTGACGTCACAATGGTTTTTCCGTGGAAGTGATGAAGTAAAATAATGTAGATTATTACATTTTTAACAGTGAAATATTGTAATTTATTTATTGAATAAGTGATATTCTGTCACAGTGTGAAAGGATACCAAAGTGATACCCTGTCACAGTGTGAAAGAATATCAGAAGTGCTGCAAAACTCGAGAATGTTGTTATTTCAAAAAAAACTTCCTGGCCTGTCATAAGAGAGAGTAAATAAACCATCAAGACAGAGAACAAATATGAAAATTTTCTTCAAATATGTTGTTGAAATCCATGTTTACAGTGTTTTCAAATTCACAATCGCTAAGCTATGATGTCTCAACCGCTCAACTATGACGTCACAGCCTATGAGATTGTGTAACTCAAAGACAGAGGCAAAGGGAAAAATCAAAGAAAATGTAATAAACAGAAAATTCAATATTTTGTAGTTGGATACGGAATTTATTTCACTCGTGAGACAGGATTTTTTGATATTTTCACTCGTGCTTCGCACTCGTGAAAATATTAAAAAGAAAAATCCCACTCCACTCGTGAAATAAATTCCATATCAATCCAACTACAAAATATTGAATATCTTCTAATTTATATACATGTACAAAAACAAATGTAAAACCTTGATAATGATTTATAAAACATGATAAAAAAGAATCGATGTGTTTGTATTATCCGCTCGCCAAGGCTCGGGGATAAAAAAAACCCACACAACTCCTTGGATAAAAAATCATATCCAATCACAAATCTTTGGAGATCTTATATGTATGCAATTAAATTTCATAAAAATTCAACTTGGATTAAAAAAAGAGAACAAGCATGTGATTAAAAAGAAGTCGTCATGACTAAATGTAAAATGCCATAAATTAGTCAACACTACAACACATTTAACATTATTATTATAGGCTGGACCACGTTTGAAATATCACTGACTGCCATACATATAATGGGAAAAGGCTTTATTTAATTAGTTTGAGATAATTAACCTAGCTCTTTTTGGCGAATACTCACAGAGTAAAATTTTCCTAAGACAAGAGAATAATTTTTCAAACAAATGTCCGTAGAAGTGAACAGAATTAAATTTCCAGAAATGTTCTATTAATTTTCTTTATAGACGACTTGATATTTTGAAGCAACGCTCTTTCAAATAAAGACCCACTCCCTTTGATAAGGTCAGCTAAACCAAAAATGTCAATGACAACCTTTAGCACAAGCACCTCTGGTCAACTGGGGTTTACTTCTATTAAAATTAAAATTGCCTCTTCATTAAGGGCTTAACCGGATCCTTGCTGACGTGGAGAAATGTTGGTTACGATGAAAAATTAACTGTGATATACCAGTTCCGGTTCTTTATGTTTCAGAATAAAGACCTCGGGTAAGAAAAACATTCAAAGACAATGGTAACAGGTACTGTCAGATGTTCAAGTAAAAAAATCATCAATAATTCAAGATGGCGGTTACTTCGTTTACTTTTTTCAACATTAAGGATTTTAACTCTTAAAATATTAAGTATTCAATGGCACAGAGGTAAATCTTAATTCAGCACAATTTTGTTTACAACTTGGCTTTCATTTTGGAAAATGCATTCGATAGATCTCTTTGAGTTACCCTATAGGACAATGTATTTGTACAATAAATGGCGGGACTCACCCAAACACTTAGCACAGGATCGATATGATCACTTATACCCATCAACAAAAGGAAATGAAAATAATTTTTATGAATTTTAGTGAATCAATAGAATGCTGTTGGCGTCTTTGATATTTCAGCTAATCATATATTTCTATAATGTATAATTACTGGTGTGAAGTTAACAATCGATTATCTGGGACTTGTATAATGCATAAAACAAACAGATCTCTTGTGTCCATGGTCCCAAATATTTTGCTTTCGGCCAAATCAGAAACTATAATCAATTTCTTTATATTCAATTAAAAAATATTCTTTGTTTTATTATATTTATTATATTTATTTTGTTTGGGATTTTTTTCTCATGGGGAAAATGTTTGGAATTTAAAAATAAAGAGCTAAAATAACAAAACCAAGTTAGGGCATAAAACAGTTATGATAACATTCTCGTGTCTATGATTTCTTTGCAAACAACTTGTCCGAAGATGATGTCCATTGTTCCATGAGGGGTCTGTCGGCAAGTGATACTGACGAATCCTCCATCATAAAGCCAATATAAATCCAATAATTACTTTAAATAACGTTATTATCACGATTTGAATGCATCCTGGGACAGTGTCTTTGAAGTTGCCCGAGATTGCCATAAGGAAAGTGAAAGTGCTCTTTGGCCGTCATCGATTGGAGATTAGCCGTCGAAGCTCCGCCTACTGCACGCGGAAACCCACTGCAACATGATTGACAAACACCCTTACAAAATCTCAACATTCTCTAACTTATTTCTATTCGTTGATTTGTTTGTACACTTTTACAAAGATACTTTTAGAAGCAGTTTAGAACATTTATGTACTTTTTTGATTTTTCTTTCTGATTTGTGCCAAACTTTCTAAATATAGGATGTCCATTACCGCAAGAACGCTGTAACAAGACCAAGTTTCTAAATATTATTAAAGGATTACAATGATGCTTTGACTGATAGGACTTCCAACAGAAGGGACGATGTTTTACTGGATATTTACTCTATTAATTTACAGAATAACATACGGTGAGTATATCAAATCTAACTATGTTCAGTCTGTTGAACAGTGGCTATCTATTATCAGGGAGATAATTCCCCATCTGTGCTATTAAAATCGTTATACATGCCAGGTTGATGAAAATACTTTTGGATAACTTTTTTTGTGAGCAAACATTTAATGTAAACTTTAGTTTATGCTATGAACATATTTACATAATGTTTGATCGATGAAATATTTTTAGGAATAATCATTCTGTAAAGTTAATTTTGTTTATGCATTTAATATAGCCCTCGTAGATTACGTAATCAATGTCTTGATATAAGACATAATAGCATCGTTATCATACGTCAAAATGACTTCGGAACAAAATACATGCATCATATAAATAACCTCTTTAGTAAGAAAGGACTTTTTTTTGCGTCGGATTAAATCAGAACTGGCCGTATGTATCATTGTCAGGAGGTAATTGTCTCTAGGCCTTCATCTCACAAAGATTACTGAAGATTGCTACGGCTGAAGAACACAGACCAGATTGGGTCACAAATAATATTTCTAGACGTAAATCAATGGACAGCAATCGCCGTATACCTAACAGGGAAGGAAATTGGAGCCTAGATGTGCCTTTTTAGTCCGGCAAATTGTAATTTCTCCGACACGTTTGTCTCTCCTGTTGGAATTTGGCTAGAAATATCCCTCCGGATTTTCGACTTTCCAGCATTACTATAATACTTTTTGTCGTAATAAGCTTCGTTAGAACATTTTTCTGCTGTTTTACTATGATCCTGCTCGCGGCATCCCCTTCTAACAAATGTTAACAAACCAAGCTCTGCAGTAGCCAAATTGGTTCCTCTTGCTATATGATTAGTGTTGAAGAGCGAAAGTGTTATATGGTGGTTATTAACAATCCATAAATCTTATGCGACTTAATTTATTATTTATCGTAATAATCATCTACCGCTGACAGGAAATTGTTTAGTCCCATTTTAGTACTGAAGGAATTTGAGAATAATTATGTCCCTCATGTAACGAGCATATTGCTTGTCATCAGTATCGTGCATGCATATTTTGGAACAGTATACAGTTGAAAAATTCGCCATTTCTAGACAGCACATTTAAGTCAGATTACAGCACTCATAACAACAAAAGCTCAGTGGAACATGGAGGTATAAGTTTACAATTCTCTGACAGAATGTGAGGAATGAATTTAAAAGTGATTTCTTAATTTATCATTCTTGTCCTTTGTGTTAAAAGATTTAATCAGCCGGATCATCAACTGGACATAATGGTCAATCGTCCTCTCGATTGAAAAGTCCTCTTCATAGCACGCTCATTCAAATGCTATGAATTTTCACAGGAAATCCTATGGCATATTCACAAATGTAATTTCAAATTAAGTCAATAAAAATAAAAACAATCAAACTAAATTGATGATTATAAATGAATTTAGATCTTTGATAGGATCGATTTATGCTATGAAATTCTTCTGCGACTGTATTCTGATTTGAAAACATCAGTCTTATATAAAATAAAAATCAAGATCCCTTAGATGTGATTATTTCCTGCAAGGGGTCTTAACATGGTTAGCAATACGATCAAAGAGAACATAAATATCTAGCTTCAGGGTCATGACTAAACATAATTGGAAGGGAAACTTTTTTTCATACACATTATGCTTCAGAAATGCATCGTTACTTTTTAGTCTGCAAACACTCATAGGAAATATACATATCTTGGGTTTACGACAATACTGTTTCCAATATTGATCTTATTTTTTGGTAAATGGCAATACGAGGTGATTTTTTTTAAACTGCAAAGTTAAATTTGCGTCTCCAAAGGAGGATTAAAGCTCTTCTAATGACATTGTAGTTGGAAACGTTTTAACATTACTGAAGGTCAGGTGACTTGTATAATAACCGATAAAACATTACATTGATGCATTGCATAATTTTTGGTTTTCTGATTTAAACTTTTCATCTCTAAATTAAAGTAAATAAATGCGTTTGGACTGTAACAATTATAATCGTTTCACAACCTTCTAAATTTTAAACAAGTTCAGGTTTAACAAATACATACACCACTGATTATATAAATCTTACAAAGACATTGTAAATACCACGGGCACTGGAAGTTAATATAGATATTGAGTATGTGACTGTATAAAAAAGGGAAGGTTTCTTTTTTTTTTTTTTACATGCACATACCCAATATTTAAACTAACTTCAATTGCCCATGGTAAATACTGTATTTTGACTATGAATTTCAGTATGTTTTAAATTGGATAGTCAATTAGTTATGTAGATTGATTTTAAATGTGAACCCTAGGGTTTTGACTGTTAACACTTCCGATCAGAGTTGGGGGGGGGGGGGACGGTGGAAATCATAGCTTTTAAATAATGACATATAAACTGTTGACGGTAGGTTTTAATTGAGTGGAGACATCAGTAGGTTTGACTAAGGACACTTTAGCATAGAATGTTGATTCCGTGGATTCTGCTGGTTTTAACTGTCGACAATGTAGCTTTTACTTAGGTCAGTGATATTTAGATTGATATTGAAATTAGTGCCGTAAAAAACTTTTGACTTGATTTTGAACTAGGAGTCTGCAGCTCATGACTATTGACACTGGAAACTTATATCTCTGTAACTGACATTTTAGAATTTTGACTTAAACTATGGAATTTTGTAGTAGACACTGTAGGATTAGTCTTAAACCCAGTAGAATTTTGTCTGAGACATTGTAGGATTTTGTCTTAGACACTTTAGGAGCTTGTCTTAGACACTGTAGGAGCTTGTCTTAGACACTGTAGAATTTTATTTTGGACACTATACATAGGATTTTTTTTAGACTATGTGACACTATAAGAGTTTGTCTTAGATTGTAGGAGTTTGTCTTAGACACGGTCACACTGTAGGATTTTGTCCTAGGTTTTTATCTAGGATTTTATCTTGAATATTGTACGAGTTTGACTGAGACACTGCAAGATTTTATCGAAGACACTAAAGGATTTTGACTTTAACACAGTAGGATTTTGTTCTAGAAACTGTAGGATTTTTTTTGTTTTATTGTTTTAAAAATATCTTATTCATTAAGCATTAATTGGATCGAACAGTAGGCATAAATGCTTATCATCGTTTTCTCCACAGATTTTTCCTGGACATTGTATTGTTTTGGCATAGGCTGTAGTGATTTGAATAAGACACTAAGTTTTTGTCTTAGACACTGTAGAATTTTGTCTTGGATTTGTAGGATTTCATTTTAGACTTCGTAGAATTTAGTCTTAGATAATGTACGATTTTTTTCTTAGACACTAAGGGTTTTGTCTTAGACACTGTAGGATTTTATCGCAGACTTATAGTTTGTCTTAGACTGTAGGAGTTTGTCTTAGACACTATAGAAATTTGTCTTAGACACTGATGGATTTTGTCGAAGACACAATAGGATTCTGTCTGGTAAATGACCACCGATGTTTTGTAATTAGTTATTAAATTATTTTCAAGCCATTTAAGACACTTTAAGTGATATACTGATCATAAAAACAATTACAGGTATCAGACAGTTGTCAATAAGTGCATTCCAAAGAAATAGACAACATTGAGGCCCTGTATAAAGTGTATTTGGGATGAGTCTATCATTTAAACTGACAGATTTACTGAAAAAAACCATAACACAATAAGCCTACATGATTCACAAATACTTTAAATAATATTTCTTGCAAATGAATAAATACCAGTACTAATTTTTTTTTCTCCCTCCCTCAGAGGGTTTGAAGTTTTAATATGACGTTAAATGTAATGTCAACAAGCCTAATAGCCTCCGCACAAATTCACACCATGCATGTTACTGATGTGAGAGAACAATTTTGTCCTCATAGACCCCCCCCCCCTCCGAAACTACTGGTATAAAGATTTTGAATATCATTTTAAATCTATTAGATTGAGATATTTGTTTCAATTTGGACAACATAATTTCAAATTCCATGAATTAATTTCAATAAAACTTGTGTTAAAATGAAGGTGTACTAAGGGAACTATTAAAGAAGCTTTAAGAATACAAGGTTATGAACAGGTGTTCCATTTACTCCATAAAGAATACCTGTAGTTTTCTCTGTGACAGCTATCGATTTGGCATCTATTGAAAAGATCATCCGCTTAAAAGTCACTGCGCCGATGGCAGAACGTGGGTCCTCTTCTTTCCTAATTACCGTGCTTTCTCTTCTCGCATGTTTAGAATACACTTTTCTTGGGAAGATAATTGCAACTTTCCAGTGAATTATTTTATTTGCACGGGTAATTAATGGAGTTAAGGATTGGTTTACGAGACTTGGACTCATGTTTATGAAGGGACGAAGTGGTAAAACAGATGTAAAACAGTATTAAACCCCGGTAAATTGTCAGGATATCGATAGAGCCTTTTGAACACATTAAGATGAAGACAAAAATATCTGACAGACTTCTTAATATATGGAGAGAGAGAGAGAGAGAGAGAGAGAGAGAGAGAGAGAGAGAGAGAAAATGATTAATAATTTCCTCTTGACCCGGTATTGATTTCCATGTATAATTGGCAGATTTGATTTGACACTTGGTATGTGAAGCTCCTTCCTCTGGAAGATGATCTAAATCTAAGATATCTGTAGACATTATAAGAAACTTAATAAGTGCTGCCGTCCAATATGTACATAGGAAATCGCACACTGGCCTGCTGAAATTACTATGTTCAACAACGAAAAACGATTTCTCAAATGTTAATATATATACAGTTACTGGAGAAGAGAAATATGATGTGTGGTGCTTTTGTCTCCAATTTATGTGTGAATCATTTATTTTGTCTTAAAGATGAAGGTCACAAAATGCTCAGTATGAAGCAGCTTACGAGGAGAATATATATATATATATATATATATATATATATATATATATATACTAATTAAAGTGGCTACTGAAATACTCAGTAAACTAGGCCATGCCAATGCGCATTAATGACGGAAATTAAAAGAAAATAGTCTGATTATGGGAAGATTACATCATTTTCCCTGAAAATAATGTTCCCGCCTACAATTTCGTTAAGCATATAGTGTATCTAAGTGTATTTTCAACTAATCAACTGAAAAACGATCACCTTTTAGCAGATTGCTTCGCAATAAATATCATATTCGTTAGATTATCTAAAAGACATTCTATCAAAGAGACCGGTTATATTAAATGTATACAATCTGGTAATTTATGGTCTGTTTCGGTATGCCACAGATAGATTTTCGGCATTTACAACATTTAGCGGTGAATTTCTTAAGGTTATATTGAAGACAAGTGTGCTTAAATCGCGATAGGACCAAAAGATCATTGATTTTTCTCTCCCTGCAATAAACAAATCCTTAGGCTAAGTAACAGGTAGAAATGCTTAATAGTGAAAGATATGAAAACGGACGACCTTTTTTGGTAACACATACTTCGATTCAGCGCTCTTGAAAAAAAAATTATACATAGTAAAAAGCAATAGTAACAATCTATTATGAACCGGAATTGCTGATAAACGATTTCAGAAAATTAATTTAATAAATCTGAGTTTCTATCAAATTGAATGTGGAAACATGATATTTATTAATCTTCCAGGAGCTATCGACTTTCTCCATTTTGGTCTTATGGGACGCTATATTAACCATATCATAATTACATCTGTTTGAAATTGGGCTGTTTCACATACTCATTGAAACAACAGACCAATAGGCAGATACGGCCAAAACTACAAAGAGAAAAAAATACGGAAAAGTAAGCACAGTAGTCTCCAATGAAAGCACTTCGAGTCTTGCTTCCAAATTTGAAACACAAAGGATCTCCACAGTCACGCCAAACACTACTACATGTAGTTTTTACTATTATAATTTTAATTTCACCTTTCTCCATGTACGTTATATTATTATGTGGAATAAATGACACTTGACTACGTTTCCTACAATCCCTACAGTCCAAAAAAAAAACAAAAAAAAAAAAAAAAACACTAAACTTTTTACTATGCATGTAGTATCAAAGTTTAAGTCTTTGGTATAGTAAATGAAAATATTTAACTATGAATTTCAAACTTGTTATATTTCATTTTCTCCAATTCTTACATACGAACTGTCCTCAGGACTAGGGACGAACTGTCTAGCATTCTTAGGCATGCGCAGTCTTGCTTTTCCCCCATAGCATCCGCTTCAACCTCGCTTTCATATTTTCAGTGTGTATAAAGTATGTCCTAAAATAAATTATAGTAAATTTTACAGAAAATAGGGTATAGATTGACCGAAACCTGATAGAAGGAGAAATAAGAGTATCCTATAGTGCACGAATATATAGTTACTGTCGAAACGAGCTTATTCTATTAAAATAGCAGAGAAAGTATGCACTTGATGGGTAACTAATTATGCTGTTTGAAAACGTTCACTTCTGGAATTTCTTTTGACAAGGCAATTACATATTTCTTATGGGATAAGGAAAACACGTGTTTCCAGTTAATGAATTCAATTCTCACTTCGTATCATAAACAAACATTTTCATTTTAAGCTCTTAAATCGTTAAATGCTCTTCTCCGTCAAGCATATACATACACGTACATCAACAGTACTTGTAAACGGATGCTATTAAATAAGTGGGTAAGTTTTAAATAAGTTACTTGGTAGATTGAAAAGGGAACTTGCATACATCTTAAACAAAATATTATAGAGCTGCAATATTTAATGTTACCAAAAAATATGAACTCAGATAAATTTTCACTCAATATTCCAGTTCGATTTAAAGCAAAATTTTCGCCAAGAATGACCGAAAGCATTCCCTTTGACAGTCAGAAAATTGACAGCATCTTTAAGTTCCAAAGTTTGATTTAATTTACACCAAATACTTTCTTCTCGGGCTCACAAGGGTGCTTGGTTTAATTACTCCTTTCTTTACTTATAAGGGGCGGTAATTGTGAAGAGACAGCTCCCCTGATTGCTTGTATTCACTTATCCCTCTGAGAATCGTTTGGCGATTGTAGGGAGATTAATTCAGCGAGTAACAAGATGATAAAATCTTCGCTTCTGTTAATTGAATGCAGTTTTACGATGGAGAGCCACACAATGTTTCAGGAGCGTCCAGAAAAAAAACCGCATCTTATTTTAACATGCACCCTCCTCCGCTTATATCTCGTACTATAATTATGTAACCATTCTTTGACCTTTGTTGTATATTGATGGAGAAAGTCAAAGACAATGTAAATAAATATGTCGGATAGTGATTTGTAACCAGTTATGGTTTGACTTAGAACTTGTTAGCTTTTGTATGGAGGGTATGGATGTCTATATGTGTTAGTATCTTATTGTTAACATTTGACTTATTGGTGGTACATGTATTAGGTATTTTTATGATGTCAAATTAATTTTTACACTGAGAATATTATATAGTTAAAATATCACTTATATCTACTATGGGATAATAAGTGCATTTTCTATTTTAAGTAGTCTTCAAAATACATTTATAAAATATAGCATACATTGTTTGCCAATTATGATTTAAATTGTGATGAGTTGAGTTTATATCTCACATGGAATGACATTTCTAGCAAGTTTTATGAATAATCAATATTATATATATGCAGAGAAGAGAATTTATAGGTTATAACACTTACATTTTTACAATTATTTATAATTTAATGGTATTTTAAAAATGGTCAAAATAACACATTTAATAGCATTTGATACTTTTAAATCACATTTTATTTGTGAGACTTACATTTTTGTTTACCTTTGCGAGACTTGTATGTGCAAACCGGGAAAATGGCAAAAGGAACTGTTAGTACTTATAGAACGGAGATTACTCAAAATTTTCATATCACGAATAAATGCAACGTTATTGTCTTGCGAAGTATAGCATTTTTCTTTTTAGAGCTCAGACATACATGTATTTTTTTTTTTAAAAAAATCTTGAATTCTTTTTTTTTGGGGGGGGGGGGGGGTGTTTTGTTTTTTCTTTTGTTTAAATTGTTTGATTGTATCGCCGTATTTACGATGTTTCCCTTTATATTAATCAATCAAAAGTTTTATTAGCTCACCTGAGCTGAAATTTAAGTAAGCTTCTCTTATCTCCCGTTGTCTTGTGTCTGTCCGTCTGTAAACTTTTCACATTTTCGACTTCTTCTCAAGAAGCACTGGACCAATTTTAATCAAAGTTGGTACAAAACAACATGGGTAAAGAGGATTCTAAATTATACAAATGAAGGGTCATATGCCCTTCCAAGGGGAGATAATCAAGGCAAAAATAGGATGGGATCTTTAAAAAATCTTCTTCTCAAGAACCACTGGGCCAGAAAAGTTGAAAATTATGTGGAAGCTTCCTGAGGTAGTGCAGATTCTAAATTGTTCAAATCATGGCACCTGGTAATAGTGTTGGGCAACGACATGGGATCAAATTTTAAAATTGAAATATATCTATAAAAATCTTCTTCTCGAGAACCACTGGACCAGAATTTATGTGAAACTTCCTGAGGTAGTGTAGATTGTATTTGTTCAAATCATAAGCCCAGGGGTAGGGTGGGGCCACAATAGGAGATTAAAGTTTTACATTGAAATATATACTAGGAAAAATCTTTAAAAATCTTCTCAAGAATCACTGGATTAGAAAAGATTGAACTTATAAAGCTTCCTGAGGTAGTGTTCAAATCATGTCACTGGGGAGTAGGATGGGGTGAAAATAGGCGATCAATATCAAAGGAATATATAGGAAAAATCTTTAAAAATATTCTTCTCATGAATAGCTAACCCATGATTTCTCAAGTTTATATGGAAAAATCCTCAGGTAGTGAATATTCAAATTTGTTCAAATCATGGCCCCAGGGATTAAGGTGGGGCCACAATAGACAATTAAAGTTTCAAATAGAAATAGTTAGGGACAAATCTTTAACACTCCTCTTCTCAAGAACAACAGAGCCATGATGAAGTACATTCATGTGGAAGCCTATGATCCTCAGGTGGTGTAAATTCAAGTTTGTTGAAACCTTGAACCTTGGGGTTGGGGTGGCCACAAAAGATGATTATAGTTTTACATAGAAATTTATAGGAAAAGATTTTTAAAAACCTTCTTTAGAACAACACAGCCATGATTAGTCGTGTTTATATGGAACATCCTCTGGTAGCGTGAATTCAATTTTGTTCAGATCATCATCTTTGGGTGTAGGATGGGGCCAAAAAAGCGATCAAAATTTTACATAGGAATACATGTATTCAGGGAAAAAAAAATTGCTGATGAAGAACACCAGGGACAAAGTGACTCATGTGAGCGTTGTGGCTCATGGGCCTCTTGTCTCAATTAACAGTACTTTGGCCATTCCGTGATTTTTCTTGGTTTAGTGTCCACTTATTATTTACAGAAAAAAAAATAAAACACACTGTATAGTCGTGAAACCGACAGCATTCAAAAGCTTTTTTTCATTATTTTTTTCCCCAAGGCACAGGCGGACGATAAACATAGAAAGAACTTGGATTGATCTTAGCTGAAAACGATTTTATCGTACAGAAAAAAAAAATATATATATATATTTTAAAGTTTTAGCAAATGTCCATCTATTTTCATTGATCACAAAGAGAAAAAAATCCAGAAAGATGCATATAACAGCACACCACTGTACCGTTCTGCGGAACAATGAAATGTGTATACATGTATTACGTAATAAATATGCATTAAATGCCAGTAAGTGGTGTAAATCTTTACCTTATGGAATCGATTACACTGATATACCGAAACAAAATGTATGGTTTACTAGTATTTTATAATTTTTGTTGCATAATTGATATATTAAAGTTCAAATCTTTTCATTTATAATTTTTTTATCAGTGTCCAAATCACTTGCAACCGACATCCATAGAAATATTACGATCACGGAAGGAGATTTGGCCATTTTACCATGTGAAGCACACGACGAAGGAAATAAATACCAGGTACGTTCACCTAGGTAACTTACCTTTAATTAAGCTAAAATTAATCATGAATATATACATTATAACATTACTTGAACTTTTCTAAAAGATATACATGTATAAAATGTCCTGTAACAGATTTACAATATAAATGTAGATAAAACATCTAAAAACTAATCCATTTTTTTAATCTTCTCTTATTATAATTTTCTTAAAAGAATGAAATTAATGAAAAGATTCATGATATTTTATTATGATCCTAAAGTTCTCTTTTAAAATACCTAATTTTGTCTTCCTTGTATGCTTTGAGCAATCAATGTTGTAACCTCAATTTTGAGTCTACCTATTGATTTATTACTTGACTTTAATACATAATCGTTCCTACAGAACATATTTAATCATCTTTTTGAATACAAGATGATACCCCATGGCGAGAATACTGTTTAACAAAAAAGAACATTCCTTGAAAAAATATGTCAAGTGCACTTGGAAATTCTCATTGACCTTTTAAACTTCCCTTAAATTTTCAAGAATCAAAGCAGAGAAATATCAAAATTATTTAAGAAGAATGACCATTTTCAGTCGCTAAATCGCCCACTAACTAGACATAACGGTTTCTGTTTATTCCATCCAAAGATTGAAATCAATTCCAAGAGGCCTAACATAATTATTATAGAAATTTCAAGTTGTTTTAAAAACATATTCTGTAAACATTTTTAGTGAAACATGTATTTTGGTGTTTCGCTGCGTTGAGAATTTCCCAGTTGTTTTGTTCAAATACCTTTTAAGATTTAATTAACAAGCGTCCCCCCCTTTTTTTTAATCTGAGAGTATTTTATTGCATAAATTTTGAATGTATAAAAAGTGTGTATGAAAATATATCGACTATTTACTAATTTCTCTCCCATTGAAAGATAATCGCTCAGTTAAATTTCAACATGAGTTTAAGTACCATTTCTGTTGTTCTATGTATACCTATAAACAACTCTATGGTGGCATATTTCTGCCCCTTGTATGCAAGTTATTTTTCTATCAAATATGTCGACATGCAAGATAAATATGTTGACATGCAAGATAGTTATGTCAACATGCAACATAACTATGTTGACATGCAAGAAAATGCAATCAAATAAAAATTATAAAAAAAATTCAAAAATCTCAAATATCGCTCACATGTGACATCCAACATGCTACTTATTTATGTCAACATGCATTTTATTTATGTTAACATGCGAGATAAATATGTTGATATGCAACTTACGTGTATTTATGTCAACATGCAACTTGGTTATGTTGACATGCACGATAAATATGTCGACATGCAACTTATTTATGTCGACATGCAACTTATTTATGTCGACATGCAACTTATTTATGTCGACATGCAACTTACTTATGTCGACATGCAACTTGGTTATGTTGACATGCGAGATAAATATGTTGACATGCAACTTAGTTATGTTGACATGCAATTTATTTATGTTTACATGCATTTTTCAGATACAGTTCTGCTATGACCTTAACCTTAGATCTTGAAACATAGTTCAAGGTCACTGCACACCCTTTAAAAGAGACCTCGGACGAACAGATGGACGGACGGACACAGTAATTACTATAGGTCGCCCGCAGAGAAGGGCCCTAAAAACGTTTTATAATCTACGGTCACGTTTCTGAATCGCCAGGACATTTATCTAAGGAAATTCAATTTATACTTTGTTGTCCATCTCATATTATAGAAAATAATTTAAACTGCAACATCTGCTTGATTCATATTTAATTAAACATATTTAATATTGAATCATTTAAATTAACTTCAATTTTACCGACAAAAAAACAGAACGTGCCTCATTGCACGTGTCTTGGGTAGTAACGTACGAATCTGCACGCTCGCACAAATGTTCAAATTGTGTATCAATTCGTGTTTCTTTTGCATTTAAATTTAATCATTTAATTCAAAATCTTATCATTTTGAAAATCGATCATATCTAAAAAAGTATATATCCACAATGAAATCACAAATCGATCATATTCACTGTAAACGTTTTCGCCATTCCTGGGTCTTCAGACATTTACGTCGATCTGTGATTTCATTTTTGGATATTTACTTTTTTAAAATTATATGTATATCCGCTACTCAACGTAACTAAGTTGCATGTCAACATATTTATCTCGCATGTCAACATAACTAAGTTGCATGTTAACATAAACAAATTGCATTTTGACATAACTAAGTTGCATGTTGACATAAATAAGTTGCATGTTAACATAAATAACTTGCATGTCGACATAAATAAGTAGCATCTAGCATATTGGAAGTCACATGTGGGCAATATTTGAGATTTTTTTAAAGATTTTTATCATTCTTATTTGATTGCAATTTTCCTGCATGTCAACATAGTTATGTTGCATGTTGACATAACTATCTTGCATGTCAACATATTTATCTTGCATATAGACATATTTGACAGAAAAATAACTTGCACATATGGGGCAGAAATATGCCACCATACAACTCAGATTTACCTAATCTTTTGAAAGTAAAGAAAAAGAATGTTTCGACATGGGAACCCCCCCCCCTTCCCTCCAAAAGCAAAAAAATAAATTTTGGATATCATACTTGTCACTTTAATTGCTATAGACAACCTTCATATAGAGACTGCCAGAAGAAACAGTTTGTTGTTTTTTAGGGAACTTGTTCAAGATGGAAACACTATTCACGCGTTTCTTCGAATGCCTTTCCTTGTTTTCTTTTTACGTTTTTTTTTTCTCTCACGGCTATATTTCCTTATTAAGAGTAATTCGTTATGCTAGCTAAGCATAAACATTCTCCATCACGGGTAATTCGTGATTCTATTACAGTTAATTCGGTGTGACAGGCCTCTTATGAAGTGGAAAATATTTCTTTTAATTTATATCCCAAATAGAAAGGTATAAAATGGAAATTAGCTTTGCTTCGCTATAAAATCGCGAAGCGGAAAAGGAGAATTCGTGGCTTTGTAAAAATATTAGGCTTAAAAACATTTGTCACTATCAAACTACACGTAATTGATCGAGCAAAGTGGAAATCTGCTATAATCTAATATGCTAAGCAATGTATTCTTTTAACAATTAACCATTTTAATAAAAAATACTTGTATCATATTATACAATTTATTGTCTCGTCTGGCGGGCAGGTAGAGAAAAACTGCTAATAAAAACATTAAGAATTCACCAGAGGACAAGCATTTTGCTCCGATAACCAGCGGGTGTTAATGCAGTAGGGATTGGGTAGCAGAAACATTTTTGTCTTGATACAGAGGCGGTAAAAACCTCAAATATCATTGTCAGATGACTTTCACATCAGGTGATCAAAAATCATGACGGGGATATGTTATTCACCATTAAAGACAAGTCTATAGATCTCTGTTACATCAGTATAAAATTCACGAATTCCCCAGTTGGTCATAACAATTTCAAGTCATAAAATACACACTTTTGTATAAAAAAAATCTCCCGTCTTTGCATCTCTCTTTATGTCTTGCTTTTAAAGAAATGGATGTTTCTATTGAAAAAGCCAAAGGATTAAAAAAAAATTAAGGTTTTGATTTTTTTTTTTTTTATTATTTTTTGAAAAACCTCGACTGAGAACAAAAGCTTTAATCCATCCTTCCGACGAATACTAGCCAGGAAAACTTGTTACATGAGCATGTTTTTTGATACATAATTGACTTTAGATGAAGGAGATATTTGTGTAGCAAATATATTTCTCTGCAAAGTCAACTTTAACAATGTTGAAGACATTAAAAATGTAAAAATTGGTATGATACACGCATATATTAGAAATGTTTATTTGAAGAATATTTTTTTCCTATCCAAATTTTTCCATTCATAAAACTTCCAAACACTGAACCCATTGTTTACAATGCTTAAATGTGAAAATCTTACAGCAGATTCTTTCACACAAGCTTCTCCAGTGAGTCACAGTTTATCTGCAAGATTGAACAACATACTAGTAGTGTGCAAAGAAGGCCGTTTAATACAATATATCTCAAAATTCTAAAATTGACAGAATTAGCGTAAATAATTGATAAGCTAAAAAAAAAAAAACACTGGATAAATGACATTAGATTTGCAACCGTCACCGACAAGACTAAATATAAATACAAATGCCTCCGAACATGGCTAATTTGGGATGTGAATTTTTTGATATATATTTAAGTAATTATTTAGTGGATAGAGAGACCGTGTTTAAATTTGAATGTGTCCTTTACTACAAATGTTATTAGTGAAACCCATTACCTTTTTTTTATTTCGATCTGCAACAACTGTTATTGGCAAGAAGGTATAATTTAATGTTCACAATACAAACTAATAGGAACTAGAAATTCAGATGCAATATAAACATGAGAAATATTAATTAAAACTGGGTTTTGTGACACATGTATCAGGCCCGTAGCAACGGGTTTCAATAGTCGGCGGCCAACCTCTCTCTCTCAAAAAAAAAGACCCTCTTTAATTAACTGACCAAAACCTGGAATTTGCCACTGCTTGACCTAATAACAACAAAAAGTAGGGGGGGGGGGACCAGCATCTAAATGAAAATTTACTATAGCAGAATACTATACTCAGAAAAAGGGGGCTGGCCCCCAACATTCTACGGGCTTGTGTATGTGGTGTTGTTGCATTTTGTTTTTTTTCCCTGCAGTTTTCTTATTGTCCGGTGCTTTGGTACAGTCATGCTAATTCTAGTCCAAACTCACAAAGTAGAAACACGATCGAATATAAAGATACTATCAATGCAATACCATGTAAACACTAACAAATGTTTTCCGTCTGTCATCTTAGTAAGATAAGTAAATAAATCACGGACAAACATGTCATATTGTAATTTTTTTAATTGACTACCACCCGGTTAATTATAAAATTACAATCTGACAAACAGACGAACACAGGCTCCTTACGCTGAGTATATTTGAAAGCAGAAATAGTTAGATGTGTGTGCCAGACTTCAGGAGTGTTTTACTATGATTCAAAGGTTAAAGATAAATATATATATTAAAGTTCTCGCGAACAGACAGATAACAGGACAAACAGAACAAATCCTTTATTCCTCCGATCTTCGGAGATATAAAAAAATTGACAGAACCTTGAATATAAAAGCAAGCCTACTGTAATTCAAATTTAACACTTAAAAATTTGCAAAATGTGCCATCATTTTTGTATATTTTTTATAATATCAGAGAGAAGGATATAATTACTATAGCCGATTTCAGAGAGACCCAGCTCTCTGCTAGCTCTGTGATTGAGAAAGTAAGTTTATTTATCAATGGAGCCCTCTGTGTTCGTTAGCAATCCATCACGATGTATGTTAGCCATCAAGAGGAGTGTGAAAAAGATTGATATTGAGTGTTATTTGACACAGGCACGTCGCTTCTCCTCATCTGAGATTAAACGCATCATCTTGATATAAAAGAAAAAATATACAAAGTACCGCGTGATTGACTGTTAAATAAATACTAACTACTACATTTAACTGATTGGAATTATCGTAATTAACATCACGCAATGGCATAACAGCCAAATGTAGTGTGAAACATCAATCCTTTCGTAAAAAGGGTGCAATTTACTCACAACTTGTGTAAAGAAATATTTGAATCTATGTAAGGAAATAAAAACTGAGAATACCTGTCTTAATCGAACACACTTTTTAACTATAATTGTCCGTATACAATGTATACACTTTTAGCGATACTTTAGTAAATGATTCTTTGGAAGCAGGTTGGGGGGGGGGGGGGGGGTTAACAGTAAAGTCTGTTGCATTAAATGTTAATTACAAACAGGTGGGAATCATTAAATGTAAAATATTATTATGTTGTAAAATCGTTATTATATTCATTTTATTTTTTTGAATATCATTCTATTTCGATTGATCTTTTTACATTTGAATTATGTTCTTACAAAGTTTATAACATAACATTTTTCACTCATTTAGGGAGCTGTGAATTTGGCCCCCCCCCTCCCCTTACCACGACTTGCGATAGTGAATCCCAAACTGACGTTTACAAAAGCACTCAAATGTATTCATGCAATTTTAAAAGCCGAAGAAACATTTGTGTATATTGTTTCTTGGCCATAATTCACTTTTCTCAACTTCAATAGTTTTTCTTTCTAAGATATTGGATATAAAGCTTAAATAATTAGAGAAAGTAGAGATGTTATTGTTATTAAAGAGGGTGTTGCAGTTCTTTTGTTATTTTCCCTAAAGCTGTAGCAGTTTAAAAGAAAAAAAAATCAGTTACAGAAAACGGTCTTCATTTTTTTCAGATACAACAGTATGTACAGCACAATGTAGAACAATATTTACAAAATGCATATCGACTACCAATTTGCCATTAAAAGAAGTGTAAACTAGTCACATAGCAAAATAAGTCAAGTTTTCTCTTTTTCAAATAGGGAATCCCCATATTGTTCTGAAAAATTGCCTCCTTGAAACAGAATGAATTTGATATACGCATAAAGAGACAGGAGTTTTCTTCAAAACTGCCATTTCCGATTTTTGTTTCAAAGAGGCATATTTTTGAAAATAAAAAAAATCGAAGAAAAATTATTATCAACCCGAAATGAAAAAAGCACAGGATACTTCAGTGTTGGAGCTGGTCTAGTGGTAAAGCGTGTGGACTACATGCGAAGACCTTTTTTTACCTGAGAATGGGTTCGAATCCTGGAATAGCTGGTAGATAGATATTTTTTTTTCTTATACACTATAATGGAAGTACAATGTAACATCTCTCTTGAGAGAGAAAGAGAGAGGGAGAGAATGTCAGAAAGTTAATGGGTAATATTTTAAATGTATGCAGAATTAAATTGTTTTCCTTGATATTGTGATCTAAAACTAACAAGACATACATTTAATATTATTATGAAGTGGCAATGTCTTAAAAAAATAAAGCACTATCATTTTAAATAATTTAATTTTTTCATACTCATTTCGTTTCATTATTGTTCTGTCAATTAGTGGCTTTGATTTGAAACAACTAAATTGAAATGACTCAATGGAATGTCTTGGATATTGCATCAATAGTGTTATTATGGACACATTTTTATATATATTTTACAGTACATCTTTCAAAGTGATGTGCGAGGTGCACTTGCCATTAGTTGTGCTTTTTATCGTTCTAACTTTTCTCGTGCAATATGGCGACAGTGACCATAGATGTGAAAAAAAGTTTCACAGTTCGCCAGTCTATATTAGGAAAAACTATCTTGATATTAACATATTATGTTAAATGTTTTGTTGTAACAAGCTTGACATACCCGCTATATAAATAAAGTCATCAACGTAGCATTATCTATATTTAGAGATAACTCTTCATGCGTCGTGGGTATTTAAATGTCCTTCTCGATTTAGGGAATAATCACGAGTTTCTGCAACACCCTCTTTGACTATATTGTACATCAACAAAATCCTAAATAATTCGCCTGTACTGGTGTTTATCTGTACGTTATTAGAACATTTTCAGTAAGAACCATTAATTTAATAAAGTTAATCGTCAGAATCTAGAATGTGTTCTAGAATGTATAAGACCTTTAATGCTCATTTGACATCAGCTTAGACAGAAATATATGAAATACATCGACTAAATATATCATTTTTTCATCCTGTCTATGTTTTCTTTAATTGGAATTTTCTACAGGTAGTATGGATGAATCCAAAAAAGATATTGATAGGTAAAAATCAGAGGCGATTTATGGATGATCCGAGAATATCAATCGAACACACCTACATCGGGTACTGGAATCTTCATATCAGACAAATCAAATACGAAGACAGAGGGGAATATACGTGTACAGTAAACACTAGTCCCGTACGAATAACAAGGATAAACCTCATGGTATACGGTAAGTAGCCAAACCCTAGATTAATTAACAATTAATAATTTAGTATTAGTCATAAAAATAATTGTGAAAAAATAACATACTTTAAAGAGAACTTTTCATTAATTTTAAACAATAAACTTACTTTTAAAAATACATTTTTATTTGTTTGATTAAGTTCATATTTATGCTGAAGCAAACCCCTAAAAAATTACAGAGAATTCTGAGGAACTCGATTAATAGTTACTGTATTCATGATCATAAGTAATTTTTTAGCTCACTTGAGCCAAAGGCCCAAGTGAGCAATTTATCTGTCGCCCGTTCGTCTGTCGATTAACTTTCCACATTTTTGACTTCTTCTGCGGAAACACTTGACCAATCTCAGCTAAACTTAGCACAAAGGATAAAGTCAAGAAAAGGCAAAAATAGGATGGGTGTCTTAAAAAATCTTCTTCGGTGAAATTTATGTGAAAGCTGTCTGACATAGTGTAGATTCAAATTTATTCAAATCATGACCCCCAGTGTAGGGTGGGCCACAACGGGAGATAAATAGGAAAATATCTTTGAAACCCTTCTCAAAAAAAGATAGGCCATGATAGTAATATGCAAGCTTCCTCAGGTAGTGTAGATTCAAGTTTGTTCAGATCATAGTCCGAAGTTGGGTTAAGCCACATTAGTTTGGAATAAGCAAGAAAAAAATGTTTAAAAGTTGTCTTTCAATATCAGCGCTCCATGATTATTCACATTAATGTGTATGTATCTATACATGTAAGGAATGTAAATTCAAGTTTGTTCAAGTAAAGCCCCCTCCCCCCCCCCCCCCCAGGGCAAGATGGGTCTCAATAGGGTTATCAAAGTTTTACATTGGAATACTTAGGATAAAAATCTTTAAAAAGTTTCTTGTAAAGAAAGGCTAGTTCATGATAAGTCATATTAGTACGCAAGCATTCTCATATAGTATAGATTCAAATTTATTCAAATCAGGGCCCCCGGGATAGGATTAGGAAGAATCAAAGTTTCACATAGGAATATGTAGGAAAAAATCTTCTCAATAACAGCAGAGCCGTAAATAATCATATCAATATTAAATTGAATGTATCTTCAGGTATGCCAAGTCAAACTTCTTCAAATAAGCCCCCCCCCCCCCCCCCGGAGTCGTGTAGGGGCAGAATAGGTGATCGGCATTGAAACAATTTGAAGAACAGTACGGTCATCAGTAGTCAGTATTGGAAGCTATCGTGTAGAGATGCGTGCTATCAAAACCCCTACTTAACAAGGATGCGAATCATTTGAGGGGGGGGGGGGGGGTCAGAAGAGCTTATGCGATAGTAAGGTGTCCGTCGTCCGTCCGTCTGTCTGCAAACAATTTTTCCAAATGCTACCCCTCCTACAGTTTTGGTCTGATTTCAGTATGCCTTGGGACATACACATACATGTATAAGTAGACTACACTAAGATACATAATGATGTGCATCGGTTTCTGATTTCGATGAAGGTGTTGCCATGATTACCAAAAATAGCAATTTCTGTAAAATACTTTCAAAACGCCACTCCCCCTTACAGTTTTCGTTTGTTTTCAACTTGGCACACAAGTAGACTACACTATAATACATAATTCTACGTATCGTTTTTTGATTTTGGTGAGCTTTGAGATACATAATTCTGTATACATGTATATAGGTTTTTGATTTTAATGAACTTTATTGCCATGGTTACTAAAAACAGAAATTTCTGTGAAATTCCTTTCAAAAGGCTACTCCTCTAACAGTTTTAGTCTGATTGCAATAAATCTTGTCACAAAAAGAGACTAAACCAAGGACCAATATTCTATTTATTGCTATAATTGCATAGTTTCAAGTGCAGGTGCTACTTTTCGTTTCCTTGTTATCAGTACAAACCAGTAGAGCTACAGTCTCGTCAGAGACTTCTGGTTTTCACAAAAAACAGATTATAGAAGAGGAATATTAGATAGAAATTGATCGGCCTTGACAAAGATTGATCGGCTTATTCCTTTATCAGAGAGTGTGAATTTTTATGAAAGGCTAGTTTTAGGTTATATTTTGGATTTTTCAGTTGTAATACTTTGTGAAAGTATCATAGAAAAGTGTTTAATTTTAAAAAAAGTCAAAGAACCCTTGGGGTACGGAACACGGGGTTGGGATGGATGAGGGGCCGTCCCCAAGCACCTGTGGTTTTATCCCATTCTCGCTTTTCTGTTAGCAATTTTACACTGCATTACAACATCAACAATACTACGCCTCTAAAAATAGTGCGTAATGAAATAATGAAAAAGGTGTTCTAAAAGGAAGATCTGTTGTTTCAATGATTTCATTAGTACAATTATTTAGAATTCGACTTTGATTTTCCATGTTTAGGAATGCACACAAATGTATTCATTAGGTAGCACAAGGTGTCGGAATACATAGTGTAGGATATAAAAAAATTTCCAATGAGTGATATCTGGAGTTAACATATAAATATATACATGTATATAAATATACTACATGCACATCTGAAGAGATGCTTTAATGCTGACCCCAGATCAGTTCTACTCAGCTCAGGCTTTATGTTCAATGAATCGTTTTTTTTTTAATATATTCGATCAGTTGCATACTATCCAAGATATATTACTAAAGTCAGGTACTCTTCACACAATTGCTCTGAAAAAATATAGTTCGAATATTGATCAGCAAATACAACATTACAACAAATGTTAAGAATAACAAGCATTCTATTGCATTAGCAATACTAGTCCCCTACCGGTAAGTGTAATCTGGTTCATCAAAAAATTAAAATGTAATTCCGTCAAAAAATCATTGAAGCGGAACGTAGCATAAACTTAATTTGTAACTCATCAAGATACACACCAAAAATCAGCTCAATATCTGCAAGCGTTTAGACAAAAAAGTGCGGAAAACCCTTGAAAATTAAAAGGGCTGTAATTCCTTCAAACATCAATGAAGCGGAACGAAATTCAAACTTGACCTGTAACTTATCAATATACACTCACATACCAAAAATCAGCTCAATATCTGTAAGAGTTTAGAAAAAAAGTGCGGAAAACCAAGTGGGACAGACTGACAGACAGACGAACAGACAGCTAGACGGACGGACAGACTCCGAGGAAACCTATAGTCCCCTCCGGTTTCACCGGTAGGGGACTAATAATGTGTATGTAAAACGTGAAAGAAAACAAAATTTACGTAAAATGATTTCAAGAAAATCATCTTTTCCCCAGAAATGCAAATAAAATGTATAAATTATATTCCTACGCTAGCTGCCTCCTCAGTCTTTTTCACGAAAATATATAGGTCATTCTTCGATTGACAATCTTTTCACCAGTTATAGTACTTTCGTGATTATTGTTCGTTAATTATTGTCATACAATTTCTTCTAAAAAAGAATGTTAATCATTAATTTTGTGTGTGTGTCTGTTTTTGTTTTCTAACGTGTTTTTCCGAGCTCGCCGGAAAGGTTCGAGATGCGATAGACACGTGTGTATAGGCTATTTGGTCTTGTGCTCACACCGTTTGCTAATGACGCAAGGCTGGTGACAGTATTTGCTATGGACAAGTGCAGTTTTGTTTTTCTTTTCTTAGAGATCGTCTGAGCAGAGTGAATAATCGAGTAAATTAAAAGTCGAATATCTTGGATATGGGGTAACCATATCTATTCTTGTTTAAATCGTAGATGTACAGTTATACCAGTCCCCGTACGTGCCATTATAATATGGTTTACATTTCCCGGGAAGTTTTCCTCTATTGCGGTTGAAATGTACCAAATACCTGTTACTTTCAGTTTTTGATAAACAATCATAATCAATTTTTAACCAATATTTATCAATTAACATGCAGTTTCATCTTTTTGATGAAAGATATTTAATATACAGGTTAAAGATAAAATGAACGTGCCTAAATGTTTTTAGAACTGTTACAGATTCTAGCCTGCAGTTAGATTATAATAACTTCCTGTTTGGCGGTTAATATAATTGTGAATGATGTTTTCAGGGGACATACTACGTTAATTTACAAGTATATTTGAATTGTAAAATAACAAGGTGTAAATGTAAAAGGTATAATGATACGAGTGACTAATCAAAGCAGGATATATGTTATGAGAGGAAAATGGCAGCATATGTTTGATAAAAAAAAATGGAGAGAGAGAGAGAGGGAGACTTGTTCTAAAAGGTTTCATCTATCAAGACTTTTTTTTCAATCACAGTTCCCGCCCGGATTTTAGAATACGCCTCCAGTAAGGACCGAAGCGTCAGGGAGGGTCAAGACGTCACGTTATGGTGCAATGCAACAGGGATACCAGAACCTAATATCACATGGTTCCGAATTCATCAAACTATTCCTCAATCTAGAATACGTGAGTTTATTGTAATGTGTTTGGCAATGCATAAACCTTCGTGAAACTATAACAGTCTTAATAACACAGTATAACGAATTGTGTGTGTGTTTTGGGAAGCCATCGAAATAAAATATTCCATTGGGAAGATTTTTTTCCAGAGCATGGACACATATTGTTTACAGTTGGGTTTGGAGAAATTTGAACAAGAAAGGTCTAGGCCAGGGTGAAGTTTAGGGTTAGCCACTTAACAATTTAGTCTTCAGTAATCCTAAAGCTGTTAGACCTATACACTATAAGAGCTGGTACTCCATACCTATTTTAAGGCACTATGAAATTAATAATTTTGGTGAGGGTTAACTTTTGTTCTTTTCGAGGTAGATACTCGCGAATTCATGTCCTCCACGAAATGTTGAAATTTCAAACTAGAGTACCATTTTTTGCAACCATAAAATCAAATCCCCATGAACTTATATAATTTTTTCTCAACCACGAAAATCTGACCCCACAAAAATTAGTGATTTTACAGTATTTTTTCAAAGGAAGTTTTTTTTAACTTCGGAATTTCCATTTCATTCTAGTAACTGAAATTGTTGTAACAACAAAACTTATCCGTTCTAAACTCTTTGAGTTTACATTGTAGAGTGTTTTCTTAAAGCTGACTAAATCAGTCACACTTTTAGCATCAAAGTCTTGAACAATCATAAAACATTCTATAGCATTGCTATTATCTTGTTGTAAATTTGTATTTTGTATTTACCTCTACCCACTAAATTTCTTATTTTTTTAAATCTGCATTGAAGCTGAATTAATTTTACTTTTGATAATATTCCGTAATTTCTGTGATAGTAGTTTACTGAAATAGGAAGATAACGAACAGTAATCAATCTCAAAAGTCCACTGAAAAATTACAAATTTGGAGCAGAGAAAACACGGAATAACATCAGAGGTGGGATCAGGTACCATGGAGGAGTAAGCATCCCCTGTCGACCAGTCACACCCACCGTGTGCTCCTTGTCATCATCGGGCAAACAGAAAAATCTGTAGACAATTCAGTGTGAAAATAATGGCCTAACAATTTGTTTGAAAAACGTCAGTCAACATTCGACTTGATGATACTTGTAGATTGTATTTGCTCACTAGGTCTTGGTATCGACCATAGAATTTTCGAAATGTTGACTTTAAACGAGACTGTTGATACTCTTGTTTCATCAAATTTCCTGGAGTATTTGTCAATAGTTTGCCTCGTTTTAGAAATTGTGTGTACGTAGAGCATGCTCTTGCGTATCTTATACTAGTATAAAAACAATTTCTTCCTGGAGGTTAAAAAAATGTTCGGGTCAGTTTTAGCCAGTCGGTCGGGAGAGGGCAGCGAAATAATTTTTTAAAGATGGCCTTATCATTAAGTTTTTTGTAAGGTTACCATTAACGTTTTTTGAAAGAAATCCAAAGCAGATTTCTTGATTTATATAAAAAAAAATTATCCTGATGTTTTTTACTAGAAAGAAAGAAATGACATATACAGAGACAAGAATTATTAAAATGTGAGAAAAGAATTAACTATACAAACAGTTTCTCAGTTTCTTAGTTTGCTCTGTAGTTTAAGATGGATTCAGTTACATTTTTAAATATTCAGTTGTCCCCCCCCCCACTCCCCCTCCTGGAATTTGCAGTTATCAAAAGTATATACTGAAGCGAATAAAAATTGACTTTGGACCCACCCACCCCTGGAAAACGCGGACCCCACCACCACCGCCACGAAATACGTTTTCTGTTCACGTTTTGGAAATGGATGTTTTTTTTTTCTTGTCAAGAAATTTTTGGGTTGGAAATTTTTTTTGATCGGGTGACACCCTCCCCCCCCCCCCCCCCTCCCGGAAAAAAAAATCCTGGATCCGGGCCTGAATTTAGAAATTTTCTGGTGCTGTTATTTATTTTTCTCATTTTTCAAATCGGGATCGAGATACCTCCGATTCAGATTCGTTTCAGATTCATTTCTGATTCAGGTTAATACATTTTCAGAAACATCTCTAATATGAATAAATGTTCTGTTTTTAGTTGGTGATTAATTCACGATGATTTATCCAAATTATGATTTTTAAAGGTATTGTAACGGAAAAGCCCCGAAATGATTCGTTGTTTATTTCATCCAAAGGTTTTGCCATTCATCATACAGACTTACAGTCATATTTCTGAATTAAATACGAGTCCACACAGAGTAGAAGTTTTGTTCAGTTGTAGATATTAGATTTTTTAACAAAACTTTCTACAACGCAATGTGATTGGTTAAACTAAATCACAAATTATTGTGTAGATAGGCCAAAAGTCATTGATTTTATGTAAAAATTGATTAACAGAACCAAAATCTCTAAATTGATTGAAGATTATCTTTCCAATGGCATTATATGATTTATTATTTATAAATTGGTAAAGAGTAAAATGTTTTTCTATTACTTTATATTTAATACCATTCTCTGTTGTCTGTATTTGATGAGGTTTCTCAGGTTACTAGTAAACATTAAATGAGAGTGGATTTAACACACAATCGTGGTTAAGTGAGGATGTAACAGAAAAAACAGGACGTTTGCTTTGCTTCTAACTTAATTTTCTGCAAATTAGAATTATTAAACACATATTAATTGAAACTGCAGAGAATAAAAACAAAATTTACTCAAATATGGAACAGAAGAGAACTTGTTTTGGAACCATCATTCATTATACACTTTGTATCATGTTTCTCATCCAAGTTTTAGCATAAGCATACAAATATACAAAAATTAGCCATTTTCAGGATTTTTTATACCCCCGCTCCGAAGGAGAGGGGGGTATACTGTTTTACCCTTGTGTGTCTGTCTGTCTGTCCGTAACAAATTTTGGTCGCAGTTTTCTCAGCAATTACTCATCACTGATGCTTGAAATTTTAGCACACTTTTTGTTTAGGCATGCCATATGGTGGGATTCATTTTTGTGAGAATCCGACGTCAACTTCCTGTTTATCCGTGCGTCTGTCCGTACCATACATTACAAATTCTGGTTGCAGATTTCTCAGCAATTACTTTTTGCAGATTCGTAAAGTAGTATTTAATCGCAGAGAAAAACGTTTATCTCAATTAGTAATATAGTTTTAATAAAAATCACAGCACTGCGTTGGAATGTATGTCTGTCGTCATTGCCTCGAGACACTTTAATATCAAATTTTAAGTCAATCCCTATCTTTAAGAAACAGACAAGCTGGAGCTGACATAAATCTTACAAACTATTTTTATATGTGTTAGAAGCACACAATAAATTTATTGTTCCTGATACGTGTACAATTTCTCACGAAGAAACAGCTATAAGGTTTAGATTTGTTTTGTGCTTTTTTGTAACGGAGAGCCCGTATCTGTTATAGCAAAGGAGAGATAATTTTATACAGTGCAGAGTATAGCTAATATATTTGAATTTCTTACAACAGGAGTGGGAGACATGGGAGACACGCTGATCATTAAGAATATTTCACGACATTGTGGTGGAGAGTACGAGTGTATGGCAGACAACGGAGTAAAGGCGGCGGTACAACACACCATCAAAGTGGACGTACATTGTAATGACTACCTCTAAATTACAAAAATTAACTGAATAATGACAGAACAAATAATTCTTACTTTTAAATTTCATACATGCATTTTTTTTCCTTATTATTTATATTTGTTAAAATCTGCAATACGGTATTAGCTATAAGTCGAGAGTTTATATAAACATGTAGTTGCCTTTTCTTCATCTCTTTAATTTCTTTTTGCCTATAACCATTTTACAATACATAACACCGTATATAGGAGAAAAAAGTTAAAAAAAAAAAAACGAATCAAACAAGTAGATTAACAACAAGACTAAACAAATATAATATTAAAGAGTGATAAATGTATAAGGATAAAGTTTCCATTTGTATTAAGAATACACTGTCAATACAAATTTTAAAAATCTTCTTTAACTATAATGTATAGGCCTTTACTTGTTACAGTTCCTCCGGAGGTGAGTCTTATTAACTATAGACAGTCCCAGAGAGTAGGAAGGGAGACAATACTACAGTGTAACGTGTCAGCATCGCCTCTGGGCGTGAATGTCTGGAAATTTGGAGATCGCGAATTTGACCAGCAGAGTGGACGGAATTACCGAACAGAAATGTACAGGGAAGACAAGATGAGGTACATTTAAGTTTACTGATATCGCCATTGTATATATATATATATATATATATATATATATATATATATATATATATATATATATATATATATATATATATATATATATATGGAAAACATAAATTCGCTGCTGTTTGTTTTCCAGTGTTGTATTTGTTTAAGAAAAAAATAAGATAAGGAAGAATTATAAATTTGCGATATACGTGGAAACTCACTGTGTAGGCAATAACTGTTATTTAGGGTTTGTCTGTAATGTAATCAATACATCTTTTAGACTGTGTTTATGATGTCGGAAACTTGCATGTAGGATAAATAATATTATTATGGATCATTTCATAGAAAATGAATCTCGTACTAAAAGTTTACTAGATTATACTTCTCACATAATTAAATGTCTACAGTTCTATTAGTTTTGTGTTTTAACAACATGCTACTTTAGAACCAAGTTAAACTATCAAATGATATTGACAAACAGAACATAAACTGGCAATTCCAGCAGAGAACCACAAAGACATTTCATACAAAGCTGTTTTTATCATTGGTGACTGCTTAGTAATATTAGAATTTGTTTGTTATCATTAAACTATAAAATATTGATGAAATATCTATGCTTTATGCTTGGATAATTGGGTTTTCCTAGTAATAATGTATAATAATTGTATTATTTGACAGAGTCACTCTATCACTGAGAATTTTAAATATTGGTGAAGAGGATTATGGGAAATATACGTGTGAAGCGCACAATAAATATGGAAGAAGCGAGAGATCAATGTATCTGGACGGTATGCCTTAGTATCGCTTACGTACAAAAGTCAAAAATATCACTGGTTATGACTATACGCATTAGGGATAATTTCACTTAATATAACTTTTGACGAAGAACACAGTTTTTGTTTGTAAAAATTCAAAAACGACACTTTGGGAGTATATATAATAGACTAAAAAATGTGAAAATCAGTCGTCTTTCAAAAATGATCTTTCAATTTAATATTGATTTGTAGTGTTAATGGACCCGACCCCCAAACCTAGATCAAATAGCCTTACTACAACTACACAGGTCCTTACATATTCAGACTCAGCTAAACGAACTCACCCAGAAACAGTGTCACAAGTCAGGGAAGAAACTAATGGTGACACGAAAGTATTCGACTTCCGAAATTTTGGCACACAAAAAGGTAGGTCTTTGTGATAAATGCCCTGTATCTACATGTATACCGTTCAGCAGTATAATATCTCAGGTAAAGATCTCAGGTAAAGAATCAAAGTATTCCGAAGAACAGAGAGCCGGGCTCATTTACAAAGCAGTGACCAGTGAATTATCTGAGAACGGGAACTGATCAAATGTATATTTTGGCGGTTGTTGGGTTATAATACGGTGAATTACGCCGCGCAGATCGGCGCTCCCGTAAGCCGGGCCGTAGCTTACGCTATGGATCCCGGCTAAAAATTAAAAAAAAAAAGCTGAATGACTATTAAGTGAGCATTTCTTCTATATGATCGCATTGTAGTTGGATTTATTTGAAAAAGGAAAACAATTTTCCTTTATTCTATGACGGAAGTAAATATGTTGCATATAATCTGTACATGTAGTCTCTACTGCATTGCACGGCATACTTATCCCTGTATCACACTTATATTAAATTTTCTTATTGAAGGATTGAGATCACGAGATGATAGAAGTGGTCAAGATTCCCTACAAGCTGTGCTCTGGACAGAAGTATTCATCATTTCATTGGGAAAAGTCTTGTCGATGTGGAGAGGAATATATTAAAGAACGGCCTTTGTGACATACATAAAAATCAAAGTAAAAAGCCAAAAGTAATTTTATATTAAATGGATTTACTGAAGTATGTGATCTGTAAAAGGGTTTATTTTCTACTGGCAAAGTAATCAACGAATACAACAATTTGTTTTGGAAGTGGACCCAACTGTAATAAGTGCTGACTATTTTCCAACAAAGTATCAATGTATTGTGGAATATTCTGGAAGGTGATGCATACTTACAAAGTATGTTGTTTCAGATTTTGGACAAAATGGAACGGAATTTACCGCTGAAATCTTGCTGAATGTCATTTACATTTAGTTTTTCTATGACATTGCTATTGTGCAGCCCAATGTCAGAATGAATCTTGTTGAATCATTGGAATTTCTCATCGTCAGTGATTAATAGCGTGTGCTCGAAGTGACTACCTTTTGCTAATGTAATGCATTCCAATTAACTGTTATAATATATATTAGTATATATTCATTGCTTGATATCCCATTATGTGAGTAGTATTCTATATATCAAATTTATAGTAAGAATGGCTTGCATTTTTGACAAGCTATTGGAGTCCCATTGTCCTACAAACATCCCAGCCTCAAGTGAAACACATGATTATCTACCATAATTTATATGCGTTCATATCACGTTCATAATTAATCTTAAATAATACGAGTGCTACTTAGTATATTAAGATTGTAGATTAATGAAAGATTAATTTCAAAAACACATTGCTTTTTTTATGAAGAAGATGATGATATGATTATTAAAAAATTGATGTATATTCTAAATACAGTTTTAACATATTAAAAGAATATGTGTACAAATCGAAAAAAAAAAAAAAACCCAACAATTTAACGTTAACATAGGATTCATCTAAAATGGCGGTCGATACGCCATATGAAGTCGTCGTACATATGTTTTATGTATTGCAAAGTCAAAATTTAATTCCTTGCAGCATTATTATATTAAGTATGTTTGTTTTGTTTATTTTCCTGTATTACAATATCAATTAATATTATCTTTTGTAAACCATTTACGAATGTGTATAACTGTTTTGTACATTTACATATATAATGTTTGTTTGTTAATAAGAGGAGTAAATGTTCCTGTATGAGAAATTTGTGGTTGATATTAAAGCAACAATTAGAAAATGAATCTCCACCATATCTTGGCCATGTGGTCATTGATAACTTCCTTCATCAGTTGATTACCCCCACTGCAGTACAATTTGTTCTCAACAATAACCAAATTGACCGCCAGCGAGGATTTCCTGTGATCAATGTTACGTTTTAACCACAATTTTTGGTGCATCAAATAATTGATAAATTGCTCAAATTTCTAAGTTAAGGATGATAAATTAAGTTAACCGCGCGTCCTCCTCCTAGGGAACTCTCCTTATCGATGCCCTCTTTGTAAAATGGACAAATCAAGTCAAATTCATTATGACGTAGAAGAAGGAAGAGCAATTTAGCAATATAAATGATCCATTTTTGTTTTTGTGATTATATTGCTATGAAATTTGTCTCTTCAATTTGATTTTTCCTGATTTTATAAAGAAATGTCTGGAATATTTGCTTTGTATATAGCGTTCGCTGTAATGTAAACTCTTAAAAAGGACTCATTCCTATTGTGTCTTTCACTAATAAACAATTTTCAATTGCCAATGAGTACACAACTATTAGCATTATTGGCAATTGAAGATTGTCAATTAGTGATAGATGATGGCATTGCAGACTAGAAAAGTTTCTACATTATTCTGGAGACTATCCCATTGCTCAAATACCCGTAATCTTAAACAAAATACTTCTTTTCAAATAATAGCCTCCTATAATGGATTAGAATGCAACAGTAAGATGTTGTGAACTACGTTTTCTTCTACGTATGTAAGAAGAAAACTCGCTATGAAGCTTAATGTTTCATGACTACCATGAGGTTCACGCAGATAATATATAAGCGAGGTTAAACCGGATGCTATATATGCAGAAAATGAAGAAATGTTAGAGTGCTAGATAGTTCGCCCTATGTTATAGTTACACTATAGATATTAATTGGTTAGCTGTAAATACACTCACAGTTTTTCATTCACGAGGGGCGGAGCCCCGAGTGAATAAAAACTGTGAGTGTATTTACAGCTAACCAATTAATATCTATTGTGTAAGTTACTTGTACCAGAGGACCAATGAGAGAAAAGCGAGTTGATAAATAGCACCGCCTACTACATTGTACGAGGTGTCAAGACACGGTCCGGAGTCTGTATAAATAGCTGTCTCCATCTGCAAGGATCATACTTTACTGCGACACTGCTACTACAAGTTGTTGATAAAAAAAATCGGAATTGGTACGTGTGAAGATATTGTACCTTTGAAATGTTGAAGACGCAGAAAACATGATTTTTGTCAGGTACAGGTATAGGGGTAGCGATTGTAGGCTTTTATGTTCAAGCCGTCAACTCTGAAAGAAAAGTTATCTTTCTAGATCGTTTTTTTTTTTTTTTTTTTTTTTTTTTTTTTTTTTTGAAAAAAGGGGGGATGGATATGGGAAACATCGGCATTGAACTTTTTCTTTATGGCAATCGGCGTACAGAAAAAAATGAAATGATTTGTGACATTTTAATGAAAGTTTGAAATGGTATTGGAAGTAAAAAAAAATGCGGGGACTTCTGATGTGAAATTGCTATATGTATTTGGAGACGGGAAAGAAAATGACGAGAATTCGAGATAGGACGTATCATTTACTGATTAAGGATACGCGGAGAAAACATACAGAACCATTTATGAAGCGGACACCGACAAGCTAAATAATGTTATTATTTTTGAAATTTAAAATGTTGACTTAATTCATTCATCAGCCATTGCCTTGGTCTTGAAATTGACATCATTCATTCATTAGTCAAGGTCTTTTTGCAGCTAACCAATTAATATCTATTGTGTAAGTTACTTGTACCAGAGGACCAATGAGAGAAAAGCGAGTTGATAAATAGCACCGCCTACTACGAGGTGTCAAGACACGGTCCGGAGTCTGTATAGATAGCTGTCTCCATCTGCAAGGATCATACTTTACTGCGGCACTGCTACTACAAGTTGTTCATAAAAAAATCGGAATTGGTACGTGTGAAGATATTGTACCTCTGAAATGTTGAAGACGCAGAAAACATGATTTTTGTCAGGTACAGGTATAGGGGTACCGATTGTAGGCTTTTATGTTCAAGCCGTCAACTCTGAAAGAAAAGTTATCTTTCTAGATCGTTTTTTTTTTTTTTGAAAAAAGGGGGGATGGATATGGGAAACATCGGCATTGAACTTTTTCTTTATGGCAATCGGCGTACAGAAAAAAATGAAATGATTTGTGACATTTTAATGAAAGTTTGAAATGGTATTGGAAGTAAAAAAATGCGGGGACTTCTGATGTGAAATTGCTATATGTATTTGGAGACGGGAAAGAAAATGACGAGAATTCGAGATAGGACGTATCATTTACTGATTAAGGATACGCGGAGAAAACATACAGAACCATTTATGAAGCGGACACCGACAAGCTAAATAATGTTATTATTTTTGAAATTTAAAATGTTGACTTAATTCATTCATCAGCCATTGCCTTGGTCTTGAAATTGACATCATTCATTCATTAGTCAAGGTCTTGACACAGTATGGCTTGATGCCAAAAGGTGGGCGTGACTTAAAAAAAAACTGTGATTCTTCTGGCAAATACACCACAGCAACATGAAAGCAAAATCTAAATTTACCGCCAGTCCTATGGTACAATTAATTATATGGTTATACATGTATATTTATTCATATGGGTTTATATTTATTAAGTTACATATTATATGTTAAAAATAGTATTTTCCATTTAAGATCGGGTTTCTATGGTACAAGGATTGGACATACATTCAGCATGAGTTTTGGTGCATCCAGGGCCGTAGGAAGCAATTTCAAATTGAGAGGGGGACAACATTACAATTCTTGACAAGAACAAGCAAAATATATCATCTGACATTTCTGGAGGGGGGTGGGGGTACCGTAAATTGGCTTACATTTCTATTGAATAGATTTTACTAACAAAACTATTGAGGGGGGCACAGTTGTATTGAATTTCTTTTCTATAGAAATACACTCAATTGGCAAAGTTAATCATCTTGTGGTTATCCCCCCTTATGTTCAAACTTTTCTTGAGGGGGGTGCTGTAAATTAGCTTACATTTCTTTTGAATAGATTTTACTGACAAAACTATTGAGGGGAGCATATCATCTTGTGGTTACCCCCCCCCCCCTTATGTTCTAATTCGTTTCACTCAAACGAAATAAATTATTTACAGTAATAACAAGAACACTAGCATAAATTAAACATTATACAGTTACAAAACACAAGTGTGCAAGGGTACCGATTCTTTAACTTCCTTCTAATGTAATTAATCAAATATCGCAATACAATACAAAGCATTTTTAATACAATGTTCATATGTCCACACTTCACTGATTACAACAAAACGCATTTCAGCACACTGCGAGACGATGTCAGGTCCTATTGTTTTTACCACAATTATCAAAGCAATAAAATAAATATATATTAATATGTAATGAACACAACTATGCTTCACTCGTCGCCCAAGAAACCATCTGAAAAAACAACATTGATTTATGCTGAAAAAATAACTATGGAATCCTAAGTCCGCAGCAATTGCGAGCTAAACAAAACGAATGGCTGACTCAATCTCACAAACTTACGTAAACCTGTCATTTATTACAATGTATTAAAAAAAAATGACTTGCTTGAGTAGAGCCTGTGCAAAAAAAAAATGTATGCTAGGTATCCGTTGGCTATGAATCATTACATATAACGATTTTACACTTCCGTTTCGACTCAAGCAGTTTGTTTACCCGTCGAAAGGACAAATATTTCATATTGCGCGAAATTTAATCATTCAATGTCTGATGAGACCAATTTGTTAAATCCCATGAACAACATTTATTTAAATTAACTTTCTTTTATCAAACAAAGTATGGATGGTAGGGTAGATGTGAATGCAGCAAAGAAAAGCCATCGAATGGCTTGAATTGAATACCTGTTGCGCAGGTGTCGACCTTAAATACTGACAATTAGCTACGGCCTCTTTTATTAGCACATTATAAACAATAACACATGTTCCTAGTACATATGATAAATTAATTTTCGGTTCCTCTGGGCCTGGTATTACGTGTATATGTTGTCTTCAACAGAAATGCTTCGATATGAAGGAGTAAAATACTGTCTTTCACTAATTAACAATTTTCAATTGCCAGTGAGTACATGACAATTGAAAAATGTTAATTAGTGAAAGACAATACTGCTTAGAAATGGACAATATTTTAAACTTTGAGCAAAATATTTCACATACAAAGTAATGGTGATACCATACATGGATGACCCCCGTTTAATTCCAACATTCCCACGCTAAAGGTAAATGCTATATTAGATGCCTTGATCAAGTATAATTGATACCGACTTTCAGTGATTATAGACTATTACGTTAAATAATAATGAAAAATTACATGTTTCGAGGTGAAAGAAATATTTTTACAACATAATTTTCATTACAACACATACTATATATATATATACATGCCAATGGTCCACATATTACAGTCTGTAAGGACAGCAACTTGTTTTTCATCATTAGCATTGTGAAGCAAGCCAAGCCTGAACATTTCATGATCATTTCATAATTCATGTGAAGGTTGCTGTCTATCAATTCATATATCGTAGGCCCGTAGAACGCGGGGCGGGGGGTCAGCACCACTTTATTCTGAGTGTAGTATTTTGCTATAGTAAACTTTCATTTAGATGCTGGTTCCCCCCCCCCCCCCCCACACACACACACTTTTTGTTGCTGTAAGGTCGAGGAATGGCAAATTCCAGGATGTGACCTGTTAAGGAGTTTTTTTATAACTATTTTGGGAAGTTGGCTCCCCCACTTTTGAAACCGTTGCTACGGGCCTGTATTGATAGTGAATCTCCCATTTACATCGTGAGTTTTAATTAAAAGTGTTCATCCTTCTGTCTGTCTTTTTGACTGTCCAATAAGAGGTCTCAAAGCGATATGTATATATTGTGTATTATTGGAGATCCATATCTCTTCCCATATCTCTTCCTTTGACTGATAAGTCTTCTAT